AGGTCAGTAGAGAAAGAGGAAATAGCCATACCCAGTAGTTTTGTAGTACTTTTTGAATGGTGGAGTTTCATGTACTCTAAACTTAAAGATGCAAGTGCCCTTTTATTTACAGAGTTATTGCCATTTATTATGTACCTTATGCAGAGTTATGGCCCTTTTTTCATGTTTTGAAAGGTGAATCTTAATGTATTAGAAGTTTTTCAATGTCCCTCTGTTTACAGAGTTATTGCCCTTTGATCTATACCGTTTTGGATGGTAGATTTAAATGTAGTAAAATTTTTAGTGCCCCCTTGTGTATGGAGTTTTTGCACAGAATTTTTGCTCTTTAGATTAGACAATGCTTTTTACTGATCAGTACTAGGTCCTCGTGCCATAGGCCTATGACTCCTTATGATTTTGAAGCTGTCATTTGTCTGATTCATGTTATTAACCTTACCAATTCTCAGTATTGTCTGGGGGTAATGACATTTGAACTGTTGCAAAATAAATAAAAGTCTGGTACATAATTATAGTTGTATTGAAATATATGGCTCAGACAACACAACCTACTATTAGGAAAGGAAATGGTCCATTTAAAAAGTTGACTGGCAGATCAGATCACTAATAAGCAACTGTCAGTCTAGATTGATGTCAACATCTCATTTAAACACTTTTAGTTTAGGATGGCAGATAATAATTTGAGTGTTTCTATCAGGATTCATTTTTTCCCAAAATTAGATCCTTAACAGTTCCTAGTGCTAACCATGACATTACTAGAACTGAGAACTTGTGGTAGTATGCATGACTTGATGAACAGAATAGAGAATATGAGGGTGATTCTGATGTCTGGAATAATTTGGCTTGTTTGATAAGGCTAAAGAATGTGTTGGCAGGATATATCATATGATGATGTCCCTTTTTCCATTCTCTAAACAGTATCAATTTCCACTGCTTGAGGGATTTGATTGTTTTAATTGGTCCAAATGCTCTAGTACATTGGTCCAAATGCTCTAGTACTATGTTTACATAAAGTTTGTACAGATGTTTTTTGGGTGTTTTTTCTTTTTTATTTTCCTATCAAAGCAGAGCTTGAATGATATCTACTTTATATCTTAAAACAATACAGTTTGAAGACGTTTTCCCCTTGCTGGTATACATTGGATGTTTCCTTAGAGTTTTTGTTGGTCAAAATGGGTAAAAAGGTTTTGATATTGAGTGTTCAAAAAAAATCTTAAATCTGAGGTTTAGATACATTAATATTGGTTGTTGGTTACTGTTTGGTAGAATGCTTGTTGTGGGTTTTCTATTGATAATTCACTTACAATGTCCTAACACATTGTCCTATCTCAGTAAAGATCATGTAAGGGATGGTTTAGACTGTCTGATCTCAGTAAGGGTTGTTTTAGACTGTCTGATCTCAGTAAGGGATGGTTTAGACTGTCTGATTTCAGTAAGGGATGGTTAGGACTGTCCCATCTCAGTAAGGGATGGTTTAGACTGTCTGATCTCAGTAAGGGATGGTTTAGACTGTCTGATTTCAGTAAGGGATGGTTTAGACTGTCTGATCTCAGCAAGGGATGGTTAGGACTGTCCCATCTCAGTAAGGGATGGTTTAGACTCTCTGATCTCAGTAAGGGATGGTTAGGACTGTCCCATCTCAGTAAGGGATGGTTTAGACTCTCTGATCTCAGTAAGGGATGGTTTAGACTGTCCAATCTCAGAAAGGGATGGTTTAGACTGTCCAATCTCAGAAAGGATTTGTTTAGACTGTCCAATCCCAGTAAGGGATGGTTTAGACTGTCCTATCTCAGTAACAGCTGGTGTAGACTGCTAACAGATTCAAACAAACTGTTTTGATGATAGGATGGAAGTTGGAATAATTTTCTATAATCTTTTGTATCTTCTCTATCCCTACCATTTATACAGCAATGAGGTTAAGCTGGTCTGTTTTTACTGAGGAATTAATTACTATTCAGTTGTAGTAGGATTTGTAAGTTTGTCTATCTGTCTGAATGAAGAGTTTGGCTTCGGTTAATTTACACTGAGGAATGGATTAGATTTAATACCTACAGACCTCATGAGGTAGGAGATGGTTAATTTACACTGAGGAATGGACTGCCTTCACTACCATATATGGTCGAGGTCAATTAACCCTGGGACTTAGCCATGCTTTGACCCACTTAGATAGAATGTGTGAATGTATATATGAAGGAGAAACCTGATATATCTGAATTAGAGGGCCATTGTTAGCAGCTATCTATACTTATGAATGGGACCAGTTGGCCAACAATGTATTTTGTATTCTGTTGATAATGGACTTCATTTCAACTTGTCAACTAAGCTAAACATGAAAATAAGGGTTGAAAAGGGGGAAAAATACAGTAAATCGACACTGTTGTTAGAAGTGCTGTCAGATAGATTTTAAAGCCAATTTAAAACAACATGATACTTTGATATTTTCATGAAGAAACTACTTTTGAACTTTAAAAAAAAATAGGGAAACTTGATAGGATTTCAATTAAATTTCCATTACTGTGCAATATAGATCCATTAAATACCATATTATCTTAACTGTGAAGCACTCAAATAATCAGTTTTTATTTACAGCAAAAGAACCCTCATTACTTACTTATATCATTAACCCATTAACAATGATATCAGTTGAAGAATGACCCATGATATTGATTCAAGATTGGCCTTCATTTTTCCTCAATAATAACCCATGATATTGATTCAAGATTGACCCTTTATTTTTCCTCAAGAATAAACCTGTTATTGAGATCAAACTGTTTTTACCCTACCCCTCTTCCCATTGAGATCCTACTCCTCTCTTTACTCTGTCACATTAGGATCCAACTCCTGTCTTTACCTTGTCCCCCCTCCAATTGTGATTCAACTCCTGTTTTTACTCTGTCCCCATCCCATTGGAATCCAACTCCTGTCTTTACTCTGTCCCCATCTCATTGGGAACCAACTCTTTTTCCATGTCCCCATCCTATTAAGATAAGATGACGGACTCAGTGTGAGATTGATAACCACAGATTGGTCCAGCTGTTTGAAGCAATGTTGAGTCAGCTAGTGTACCCAGGAAGTGTTAACACACCCACTCATACACATGTCTTGTTATGTAACAGATGGTGGTCCTACCATGGACAGGGTAGTAAACATTCGGAAAGTCTAATGGCTGTAGTTATCATATTGATGCTGAGACTGGGTAGTAAATGTCCGAAACGTCTGATGGCTATAATTAATCCTGATGTTGGCCTTGCAGACATAGACATAGTAGTAAATGTCTGAAAAGTCTGATGACTATAATTAATCTTGATGGACCTCATTTATGTCAAATAAACACTATGTAACTTTGATCAGGATTAGTTTGGTGTTCTTGTTGAATTGATCAACTGGTGAGCATTTTCATTATCAGTTTATTACTGAGATTATTATCAGGGAAATTGTGTAAATCTGGTTCACATATAAAGATATAAGGTGATTGTAAACCAAAAATATTCAATTGTACCTGGTGTTAGATTGATGGTGGAAAAATACTACTGACATGTTATAAGGGCTGTTATAACTAAATCAGATTGACTCTCCAGGCTTCTTGTAGTCTCTGTTTCAAATGGAAGGTAACTAGAGAGATGTGTCAGACAAAGCACCAGCAGAGTATCACTGTTTATATCTAGGTAAAACAACAGTCTCCACGTCCTGGTTTAGACTTTAACAAACAAGTTAAAAAAAAATTTAAAACAATTTTTCATTTGAATTATTTTTATGTAATTAGTATTACCCCTGAGTTTGAATATTATAATCAAACTTGTCAAACAGTCTAAAATCATAAGATCTCCCTTGCCAGTTCAATGTTTTAGAGGGAGTAGCTAGTCTAGACATTTTGGAATCTCTGCGTTTCTGCAGATGTTCCAACTTTTTTTTTACTTGTTCAAAATATACAGACATCCCAATATTTTTAACCATGAAGAAAATTAGTTTGATGTTGGAATAACAGATTTTTCATATTTTGTAAAAACAGATTTAACAAAGTTAACGAATACATCACCCTTTCATCACTGTTTCAGATGTACTTAAATTTAATTAGCCTGAAGGAATCTTGATGGAAAAAAAATTGTTTTTGTCCTGAAGTACAAGCTGTGGGTGTCAACATATAAAGTCATGGGGTTGGCTTACTGCAGGACAATAAACTGGCAATATATTAATGGAGGAGCTTATTGTCAAACATGGGGTTAAAGCTGGATAAATATGGTAGAGTTGTAAGTAGCAGACAATGCATATGATGCTTTAAAATGAGACTTTATACTGTAAAAAAAGTCTTTATTTTCAACTATTATCTTGGTGGGGGGGTGGGGGGGGATAGTTCAGTTGATTAGTGTCTTGCTCTACATAATTTCAACTGAAGATCTGAAGAGTGTGGAATGACGATCTATACTTGTGGTGGTAGATGTTTATCAGGAAACTGAGAAACAAACCAGTATTAGACAGAACACTTTACACCCTAATTGCTGTGAATGGCATGTGGTGGACCTCTGGTATGTTGTTCAGTGAAGTAGCCACCAGCTACTACTAGGAGACCTCACCTCAAATGATAATGGCTGTTCTCGGATGATAAACACAGCAAAAAAACATCAACATAGTCTTACATTTTTACTTAACAAAAATTAGATTGCTTGGTAAATGTTGAACTGGTTCATTCTAATAGAGAGTGAGAAAGAAAGTATTTTAGGTTCTTTAGTAGTGACAATGACTGATATTCTATTTTTCACCCCGACGTTTGCAGTTTGATGAATAAAACAGTATTGTTCTGCAAGGGATCTGTTCACTTGTTAGGTTCTTTATCAGAATTGACTACATTTTGTATTTGTAAAAATAAATATAAATTTCTCTAAAATTTAGATGGGTGTACTTTTGACATTGTCTACATTTTATACATATTTCTAATGAAAAATTTTGAGATGTTTGATAATTTACATGTGCTAGAGACTAATTCATGTATGTGTTATGTTTTACAGGGTGACTCTCTTATAATGCTGATCCTGGGATTAAAATAACTTCAGAAAGGTAAGAAAGGCACTTCAGCTCAGCAGTAAATCTGAATTTCTTTAATTCTTATCAAATTAAAGCCAAAACAATATTTTATTGCAACCAGATTTTGAATTAATATTTTATGAGAAAAAAATTATCCTTCTTAAGGATGTCCTTCTTATGAATCAAGTGTGCTTTTATTGCTTGTGTTAACAGTGTATGCACCCTTTGTAATATTATCATCTATTTACAGTGCTGAGAATTTATATCAAATTGAGAAGAAAAAAAAGAAGAAATTTAAAAATCATAAAATATATACAATTTCAGACCGGAAGCAAAGAAATGTGTAAAAATTTCGTTTATAGAATATTCTGATATGGTTTCTGATTTTGATGAAAGAAGATGACACTGTAGGAATGTGCTGAAACATGATCCTAAATTTGTGTACTATAGTATTTTGACATGTCACGTATACTACTGAGAATATTGTTAGTATTTATTGGAGGTCTGACCTGAGACCATCATTCTACTGCTTCATCATCGAAGGGACAGATAACAGTTGTAAACAGACTTTACGGTAGGGATTCTAATCAATTACATTATTTTAAAACTTTTGGTGATTTTTCATTTCTTTTAATTAAAACAAATACCAAGCACAGAAGCAACGAGGAATTGCTAGGGAAAAATGATTTCTTCATGCAAAGCTAACCAGACTGATAGGAAATATCAAAGTGGTGCAAGCATTGTCAGCTTGCAGTTGCTTTGGCACCTTGGTATGCTGAAGACAGTGCTTATTGGTCACAGTTACCTGTCAAAGAAAATTGGGAAAAAAAAAGATTTAATATAATTTTTAGTTAGGGCTGGACCAGACGCTACTGTGACCATTCTAACTAATCTCTGTCTGGCTCGTTTGTCTTCCTAGAGAAAAACTAGTATTTGTTGGTAGTTCTACTGAAAAGCAATATATATGGTGCTTATGGGCCTAGACACAAGCTTATTGTCAGATATAGAGATAGAGGCTTATCGGTGGTCAAGCAGAGTATCCCTGCAGTGGTCATGTAGCCCAAGATGTCAGAGTATTCTTGTAGATGTTGGAGTTCCCACTACAAAAGTTCGGCCAGTTTTAGTGAAGAGATGTAAATAATTTTACAGAAATTGTTGATATCGAATATCCTGCAAGCTTTTTTTCCCAGAAGTTAAATGTTTTTGTATAGCTATAATCGTTTAGGAATGTGAAATCACTCGTGTGGAGCCTGTTAGTGACAGATGAACTTAGGATCACTCATGTGGAAGGGGTCATTGGATTTACCTTGTCAGCTTCTTCTTCATACTTTGGCAGTGACCAAGCTACAAGAACTTTCTCACGAAGTCCTTTAAATGTAGAATTTCGTTAAAAATTATGTTATGATAGAGGAAAAGATTTCAAATTAACAAATCTGTGTTAGATCTTTCTGTAATGATGAGCTCCATCCATGCTCTGAATATGGTTTCGTTTAAATGCGGGGCATTTTTTGTTATTATGTTTAATCATTTCAGCTTCTCTGGCTGACCGACTTTCTTTTAATTATAAAGCTATAAACACCTTTGGAGAATTAGAAGGGTGTGAGAAATGTTGGCTTTAAATTGCATTATTCTTCTCTTGTGTAGGAGATTTGTAACTGCTGATGTGGTGTCATTTAATCACAGTAAAGCCAGACATCATCATTGGAAGCAAAATAATGTCTTAATAGTATTTATCAGACAATAAGCCCATGTGTGTTGATGAACCATTGTTCTGTAATAAGCCCACCCATGAAATCTGATGAGTGTTATAATTTGTTCCCTGGACTTTAGTTCTCTAATAAGCCCACCCTATAACTTTATGTCAGGGGTTATGAGTTAACTCCTTAGCTTATTATGCTATAACAAGCCCACATGTTGTCTTAGCATCACGTTATACTTTTGTCCAAGGTTTTATTGTCTTCTATTTGAAATAATCCCATCCACTAAATGAGTTGGTTCCTTGGCTTTATTCCTGTAATAAGCCCACCCTGTGAAGAGGGGTGTTGACTCCAGAGCTTATTTTATATTATGATGAAATTTTCCTTTGGCTTTAGTTCTATAATAAGTCCACACTAGGACTTTGAGTCAGGTTATGTGTTGGCTGCCTTGGGTTATTGCAGGTGGAGTTTGTAACACATCAATAGGACATGTTGCAGTAGTTGTTAAGGCAACAATCCTAGGGATAATTATGGTGAACATTTTCTCAAACAATCTGCCATTTGGCCACTTAGTTGCACGCCATAAATATACATGAATAGAAGCACTTCAACACCTTGCTGTAATACTAATCTGGCTGGTAACTTAGCAAACCTAAACACCACCATTCCAAAACTTTACGTGCAGTTTCTAAAATAAAAAATTAGAATGACGTAACATTTTATTTTTAGCAGTCAGTTGTATTGCAGGCTTTTGATACTGAAATTCTTTTGAATTAATGATAGAACATTAAGCTTCCCAGAGACTTAAATGATCAGCTACATATATTTGTTGCTGTGGACCTAAAGTTCAGAAGACAAATACATTATAAATGGATATCTTAAATACTTGCTATCCGCAGCAGGTAAAATATGTCTGTCTACAACAGGGATCCTCTTTAAATATAAAAATAAAATGTTTCTGAATCTCTTTTTCAAAGAATGGGGCCCAAAAGGGGTAGGACAGCAGAGTTTTTTTTTCTGCAGGATTTTTGACAGACTGGGCCCTATTCCCAATGGTATAATCTTTATGTTAGCCAAACTTAAGCATTCAAATTCCCTTAATAATAGCAAAACACACAGGATGGTACTCTTCAATATACAATTTGTTGACAGTCAGCCCTGTGTTCAGATAGTTGTGTATTTCCTTCAGTGCTTAGATTTAATATGTTTGTGTTTCATTATGTTTCCAAATTTGATATTTGATCACACTTTTTTCCCAAATTCAAACCAATTAGTTTCCCATTCCAAAAGTTAGAGAAAAAAAGGCCCTGGACAGGTGCCAATTAGGGGCAGAAGGTTAGGATGAAGACTGATAGGGGCGGCAAGGTAGGGCAAACGAATGTGCTATGGTGCAATGGGGACAGAGGGAAGGGCAGATGAGTGTCATTCTCTCTATGGTAAGGTAAGGTTAGTAAGAGTAGGATTAGACTCAATAAGGGTACCAGGGTGGGAACAATGATTAAGAGTAGGATTGGTCTGAATAGGGTTATAAGGTAGCATGGTGCTCTGAGGGCAGAGGAGGGTGCTCTAAGGGGCAGAGGATGACACTCTGAAGTTCAGAGGATGGGGCTCTAAAGGGCATAGGATGGTGCTCTAAGGGCACAGGAGGGTGCTCTAAGGGGCAGAGGATGACACTCTGAAGGGCAGAGGATGGGGCTCTAAAGGGCAGAGGATGGGGCTCAATAGGGCAGAGGATGGTGCTCTAAAGGGCAAAGGATGATAGCTCTGAAGGGCATAGCAAAGGGCTCTAAAGGACAGAAGATGGGACCAAACTGGATAGAAATGATTAATTAATGAGGCATGCTTATCCCTCATGGTAGTTGTTTGCATTTAGGTCTAGTAGAAGATGTGGGTACAATTACATAACTTTGAAAAAAAAAACTACTCCTCATGCATGGCTTGACATATTTCAACGTAATATGGTATATAAAGTAGCTTAATAGTTCATTACAGCCTTTTGTATTAGGATTTTAAATAATGATCTGATATTGTTGCACAGCAATATCCTTATTTCAAAGTTATCCTTTTTGAAGTCAATTAAATCTGAAAATGCACATACTTCTAGATGCATGACAAAGTTTTAGATATCAAGGTATGCTCCTCTGTATAGGAGATGCATGTGCAAAACAGGTACATGCAGGTACAAGGGGAGAGTGACTCACAGGTAAGTAATAATTAAGGAAGACAGGTGAGTCACAAGGATCATGTGTTATCTGTACTTGTCAAACAAATCTGAAATGAGTTTCAAGGGGAGAATTTCATGTTTGTGTAAGCAGTTCAGTCACAGTTGGGTAGCATGTTAAGATATTGATCGTGGTACTTACAAGTTTATCTCAAAGTACATGTATTGATAAAGTAAATAAATAAAAGGTAAAATATAAAGTATTACGGCATTGAAAAAACAATTTGGTATATTCACATATTATACCATTGGATGTGAGTTAGGTCTGATGAAAAAAATAAATTGAATTTCTCTAAAATATTAATTAATAAATTAAGATGATCCTACTAAAACCAGTTTGTAATCCAGATGTTGCATGGTGATTTTTGAGTGCCAGAAAAGTTGGTAATATTGACACGCGTGGTGGAATGTAAGTTTGCAGAGGTGATCTGTGTCTGGCATTGACATTGTGTGTCTATACCATGTTGTGTGCTGTATCCTTGGTTTTGGCCCAATCCTCCTCACATTTTTATTTGATTTGAGTATGTGACTGAGGGTAGAATAGAGATGATGAGGAGGGATAAAGATATGATTAAACGTATTGTTAATTATTAGAATTTTTTTTTTTTAAAAAAGTCTGACATTTTTTTCACTTTGATATACTCTGATTTAATTAGTCAAGTAGAACTAAGGTTTAGTGCTGCTATATTACCCATGAATTAACTTAATTGATGTCCAGATGTATTCATTTTATTGTAAAGATCTGCTTAAAAATATAGTTACAGCCATTTTCGAAAAGGATTGATGGTATCTCATAATTTGAAATTAATATACACACAGGCAGAGTGATGACCAGCTGTTGTTAAGGCAGCCTGGTCAGTTGTCCAAGACTACCTGTGGCCAGTTCTGACCACTTACCTGTAGCTGATACACAAAATAGGAGGTGCGAGATGACATTTGTACTTTTGTTGGTCACTGTGGAATGTTAACAAACTAGTATTGTCTGTATGCTATAGGTAATATTTGAGGTCAGTGATGGGTCAAGGCAGATGTGTACTTATCTGAATATGTAGTGGTCAAGAGTGGTGTCAACTAAATGTTCAGATACTCATCTGTTGAAATGATGTAGGAAATAT